CCTCCACGGGAGAAACCTTGCCAATCCCTGTTCTCGCCGCCCCTGAGACTTAAATGGGACCATGGTACGTCAGTCACAGGAGGCCTGAGCCACAAGGTGGACACAAGCTTTCCAGTGTTTCTACTGCCTGAACAAACAGCCTCAAAAAGTGACACAAATCAAATGAAAAAGCTCAAATACGACCTCAGAAAAGCTATTCAAATTCTAACTAATCCTGAGATCTGTGCCTTCGCCTCATCTTTCCTTCCTCCCCAGCCACCAACAGAGCACGTGGGTCACACTGTTTCTATCTATGTGTCTCACGGTGGCTTTATAAATGTGACCTGTGCAGGAGGATTTACCCAAGTTCAACAGACCGTCTTCACCAAAGTCAGCCCAACGAAACGCATGGGGAGTCACTCAGCCAAGCTTTAATCAAAAAACCATACAAAAATGTAAATGTGTGATGAACACAACAAAGGAGAAAAACAGAAGATTGACGCCTAAGAAAGACCACATAATGGTAACGTGAGTGATCTTTTTCCTACCTTTTTCTTTATAATGTCCCTTTATAACTTTCACAGAAGAAAAAACATGGGTAGGCCTATACATAACACCAGGATTTTGCCTTCATGAGATTTTTACTTTAAATAACATATCTTTTGGAAATTTCTCTTATATCTCTTTATATCTTATAAAGGAATAAATGTGGGGGTTTTCCTTCAAAATAAACTGAAGAACTCTTACCATATTCTGAAACCTGAAATGATTGATAATATGTCTGGTCCTATTGGAAGAAAGAAAAAAAAAAGACAAGAAAATAAGTGAGTTCTTATGTAATACGTTGCTTTCTGAATTACCTGCAAAAAAAGATTTTTTAAATTATTTTTAAATTATATTTATAATGACTTAATGAACAAAACAGTTTACTTGTGGACGTTTATTTTTAGTCACCTGCAACATGAAGCCTGTGAGATGGCACGAGTTTTTCTTGCCAGTCTGTCAACACAAAAGCATGGCCTGTCTCTACAACTCACTGCAGGTCACTTAAACACGCTGCTTAATCTGACCTCCAACATTTGTGAAAGGAAAACTAGATTAATTTAGATGATTTAGGAATTTATGAAGCAACAATAACACATCAAACTAACAGGAAATGACTCCAAATTTTTTTGGATATTACTATGCAAAAAAATCAGTGGAGGAAATAAAGTTACATTCAGATATTTATAAATAATCAAGGATACAAAATCATCATAGACTAACATCCTCTACCTTCCCAATTCCTTGAGTTATGTTTTAGTGTAACCCTTACATCAATACATTCTACTTTTTTTAACAAATATTGTTAATTCTTTCTTTTCCAAAATCAACAAGAAAGCATGTGAACCTTTATCATTTTTTTAACTCTTCCTGTTTCTGTACAGTCTAAATCATAAGTAACACATTAATAGAACCTTTTCAAAATAGGTAATTCCACTAATGCAATTTGCATTCTAAATCCAATTCACAAAGTTTATCAATGTAAATACACAGATGCAGCTCAAAAATATTAGTTTTTTAAAAAATCATTCTTGGTTAATATGAAGCCACTGCACACCAAGTAATTTTTTGATCCTAAAAGAAGGGTAGAGCTCATTTCAAAGTGTAAAGCAAACATAATTACATATAGGCTAACTACTTGTACCTAAAATTTGGCTTTAATGACATCATTTAAAGTAGATCCCAAAGAAATTATGTTGAGATCAATTTCAAGAATCTCCACAATTGTGACTTCCATCTTAAATTGTTTCCATGCCCTATGTAGGAATCTTATAAGTTACATGTATTTGATTTATTTGTAAGTTCTAATCTGTCATCCTCAAAAATCAAACCAAGAAGGTAATGTACATGCATTTCCTGTTTCACTGACAAACTTAAGAACTCTAGTCTTTACATTAGTTTCGGCCTTATTGCTGAGGCCAGCACAGGTAAGACTATGGAATAAGACATTAGAGAGTGATGACAACTGTCTGTCAAGTTAAATTCACACAGCAAACATTAACTGAGTGAGTGCCACATGCAGACGGCCTCAGGAGGCTCTGTAAAGATGGACGGAGACAGCTGGTCGGTCGGTCCAGCGATGGAGACAGACACGGTGGAGAGCAGGAACCCCAGGCTGGCAGCTTCGTGCAGCTTCTGGCACCACGCTCACTCCCCTTCCATCTCTACCCGCCTTCCCAGACTTAGCTCGATATCACTGCTTCCGCAAACTGCCACCCTCAGAGTGGCACCCTCTGCACTCTAAGCCTCCGCAGTGGAACCCTCCTCCTCTTTTTACAGGGTAAAGGGGGCATCATAAAGATTTAGGAGCGTGGCCTCTCTTGCTGCAAACTCTTGGAGAACCAGGTCCACAGCGGATCATTCTTTCATCCTCTGTGCAAACCTCACAGAGTGTCTGACACCAAAAAAAGTGTGCAATAAATATGTGTCAGATTAAATCACTACTATTAGCTTCAACAAATGTAAGTAATCAGCTTATTTGTTTGCGCCTCCTTTGAACAGCCTTGAGACCCATATTAGGTGATTATTTGTTTAACACCTAAGTAGTGAATTAGATTTTATTTGAAATGAAATCTCCTATCCTGCCCCCTATGCTGCCAGTCACTCCAGGACTTTCCGTCTGTTTGCTGTCTTCTTCCCCTTCATTCGGTCTAAGACATTTTCAAGCCTCCCGTTCGCTTGTATCCTTAAGGATCCTTCTGACTTCTCCTTGTTTCCTTAATGGTCTTTCCCTTCTGATCCTGAAATGCTGGCCCCACGCATCGTGACCCGGCGTTCCTCCCACCTTCCAGACCCTCATGTAAGCTCAGCTCTCATGGTTCTAACTGCCACCTCTGTACTTACACCACCAAAATCTCCATCTCTAGCCCATACCTCAGATCCACCTCTAGACGTCTCCCCCTGCAGGTCCTACAGAACACACTGGACTTCATCTCCTGCACTTAGCCTCCTCCAGGGACCTTTTCCTGATCACCTTTGCCCATGTTGGGCTAGACACTCTCTCTCCCATAATATCCTGGGTATAACTCAATCATTTTACTTAACACAGTATATTAAAATTATCTGCTTCATGTCCATCTTCCGTAACAGACCATGCAGTCATGGGGAATGCAGCCCCCAACTCAGCACGCCTTCATGCAAAACGGAGGAAAAGGAGAAGGAACTGTTTCTTTTCACTGTCATTTTATGCCGTCTCAATGCATCACGGAATCCTTCTGGAACTCAGTGCTGACAGTGTGCTGGGTACCAGGCAAGGTTTTCCCAGGCTGCTTAGAAGTAGTGACATGCAAATCAAGAAATAAATTATTTTACTGCCGAAGAGGTCTGAAAAGCAGGAATGAGTTTTTAATTTTCAATATATTCTTCATTAGGCAATCAGGCCATATCAGTTTCCACAACAACTGTAGTTATTTCTATCAGTATCTTTACAAAATATGTAATCAAGAATGGTAGAAGATGTTGAAGTATTTAAATTAATAATTCAGACAATTAGTAGCAATTTATGTCACAGATAACCACAAAACACTAATACTGAGAACTTTCATTGGTCTAGAACAAGGATCTGCAGACTTTTCTGTAAAGGGCCAGACAGTAAGCTTTGTGAGTCCACACAGACAACAAGTAAACAAATGGGACTGTGTTGCAATAAAACTTTATTTATAAAAACAAGTGTTGGACTGAATTTGGCCTTTAGGCCAGGGTTTGCTGACCCCTGGGCTAAAAGTAAGATGTCTTTCTAAATTACTTCAGGTTAGTTTTAGCTGAACTAAACTAAATTTGACTAAAATTAACTAAAAGCATCAAGTAAAAAAATAAAAACAAAACCCAGGGCTTTTGTAGGAAGTACAAGTTTCATTTACTAAACAATTATCCAACTGTCCAAAGGTACAATCTGCTGCAAAATGAGTTCACGTGTATTCTAGCTCATCAAAGACAGCCTGTGCTCAATCACTCTGCCAGCAGCAGGACAGAGAGGCCGGCATGAGGGCGTCGAAGCTCGGACAGCACAGCTCTGAAGCGGACACCTTTCAGGCAAGAGAACCTATAACCCACCAACACCTTCTGAGCTCGGCTTTCCCCAGGTGGGTGCTGTCCATGAGCAAAGGGCTCCCTTGGGAAACCTGCTCTAAGGCACATCTATTCGCTGTTTGTATTAGATTTAAGCTGGTGCCAATTAGATTTTCTAAACAACCTCTAAAGGAGAAATGAAAAAGAATCCAGAGGTATTCGTAATGATCCCTGTAATTCCTTTTCCCTATATCCCTAGGTCTGTAGTTCATTGGGATGGGGTGTGGAAACCCATCAAGTGAAAGACAAAAGGGAGAAAATACACTGCTTTTACTACATTCCTAAGAAATGCGCTAAGACTAGACACAGATGGGAGACATGAACCACTGAAACCATCTATCCAGTTACAGAATTCCCCTTCTCCAGCCGTGAAGCCATCCAACTCTCAATTGAGTTTCTATTTTTAACAAGTTTGAAGGGATATGACACACTACATGACCACCTAAAAATATATGTATTTTAAAAATGCAGGTCAGCTTCTTTCAACTCTTGTTTCTGAAGTAAAAAGAATTGCCAGAAACAGAACTGGGGGTGCTGGATGGATAATTTTTGTTTGCACATTTACGTTCATTTATGATCATTTCAACTTCCCCAAAGTCTGATTTAGCATTGATCTCCCGTGTCAGCATTTGGTTTTTATTTAAAGATTAAGAAAGGCACTGAGTCTTTAAAATCCACACATAAAAGGTTGTTAAAATGGAACTATTTCAGACTCGGCTTTGGCCTTGTGCCCCGGGATACTAGATGCCAACTACATCCACATTTCCAAGCCAAGTGCAAGGCTTGCAGGCAGGACTTGCCAAGGAGGTTTCCAGAAACTAGTTTTGCAGCTCTTAACCAGAAGGTCAAGATGAAAATAAACCAGAAAGAAGTTTTGGGAGCAAGCGTTTGAGGTGCTGGGAGTCACTCTCCCCCCGGAATCAGGTGGGAGTTGCCCGTCCCTCACTTCAAGCCCAGGAAAGGGGCTTTGGTAGGAGATTCGGAGAGTTGGATATATGTCCTCAAAAGCGGTCTCAAGTTGTCAGTGGGCAGGCACTTGGTGCTCCTGAGAAACCTAAAGAGCAAAATATTGCTACTGACCAGCTCACGGACGGCTGAGCTAAGAAAGTGTGCTGTGTTGGGGGTGCTGTGTTGGGGGGTGCTCTGAGCCTGCTGAGCTTCGAGGAGCAAAGAAAACATGAGCATTTTCTCTCAACTAGATCTGCACAAAAGAGAGGGCCAGCATGAGGCTGTCCTCAGCCTGGTCTTAGACTCCAGAGGGGTAAGCAAACCCCAGGAGATGGATGCTAGAGGTGTCGTGTAGATGCCTCGGAGCTAAAGACAGTTAGGAGTTGCCAGCTGAGGAGACCGATTCAAAAGCATCAGAATCATTGGAGGAGAGACCTCCCAGTGATGGTGAGGGTGCTCAAGAACCCACAGAAGGGCACCAGGCAGGAAAGGTGTTGGTTTTAAATGCCTGCCGAGCCCAGAGAGCACAGATGCCAGAAGACAAGAAGATACACTGGACTGTTTTAAACTGCTATCTTTGTAGGACAAATATCGGCAAATATGCATGTCAAGAAATAATTTTTTGTGCCTCACTTCTCTTCCTTCCATCCGATTCACACCTGGGGGCACTGGATGCCCCCTTGTGACTTGGGGACAGGCAGCCAGACCAGAGGAGACCAAAGCCAAGAG